TTCACAAAATTGTGAGAACACGCGCCAAGACCAATGTACTAGTATCCGACCACAGTACTTCACAATTCTCCCACTAGTTTAGATATGGTGCTTGTGTATAGAGTTCTAAAGGGTCGGAAAGCAAAATCCAGGGAATTTTTTCACATACAGATGAAGATTTGGTCTGGATCGCTCCACTGGATCAGTGGTTGGGAGGTCGAACAAGATTGTCCTCGGCGGAAACTCCTTGCTGCTCGCCCTTTTTGGCCCAATCCTCGTACAGCTATAGTCCCCATACGCTTCCTTACACCCCAAGAGCGATACCTATCGACAGGAGAACGGCAAAAGCCTTTTCGACTTCGATAACTGCCTTCAGATACAGCTTCTAGGGACATTGTAAGCTTTTATCACAATTTTTTTTTCCTGAATAATAAGAATGAGAGGATCAGCAGAACGTTCATAGGGCTGGCAGTGCTCCGCTATCAGCAAGGTCCAAATCGCTTAAAACCTTCCCCTCAAACAGGCCTAAACCTAAGATTAGATGGCACAATCGAAACCCACGATATTAAGAAACAGAAGCCATGGAAAGGTATCATAGACAGGATCAGCAGAGCTCCGCTCCAGCGGTTCGATTTTGAAAGCTAATTGGAAACTGACGAGGAGTATTGGGGAACTTCCCGCAGGAATCCTGCAAATCTTCTAAAACCTATACTGTATGATACTCCTTCCCCCCGGGTTTAGTCCAGAAAGGTGAACACAATTGGTCAACTGACAATTCCCCACACACCAGGCCTTTTTTTCCCTTCTTTTTCTCAACACACAAACGGAAAACTGGTAAAATACTGCGGGATGCGATCCCACAAAAGAGTTACCTTCTACTTGGGTCTATGATATCTTATCTGTGTAATTTCGTTCCACTGCAATGATCACAATCCAGAAGTTTAGGAACACCTTTTTTTTTCGGCGGTGATAGTCTTTAGTCCAGATCTTCGACCTATTGTCCCGAACCCCTACAGGAAAGCATCCCGTTATTCCCAGGCATGTGTAGACATTCGGCTTGGGAAAATAGGCGAGTGAGGCCGCATGACTTGATGTGAGTGAGTGCAGTAGTGCTTCATTACTCTCTTAAGGGTCTACCCAAGTATGATGACGTAATAGCTTTCTGTTTTCCGTTAATCAACATTGTTCGTTGACTTTTTCACGCGCACTAGAAGCTCTTTCTTCCAGGGAGTTGTCTTGATTTCTACTCTCTGGTCACTCTTCGGACAAACAAGCGTCCTTATATACATGAATCCCTAACACTCTGACGCTCCTTCTCCTTCCTTTCTCATCATTGCTCTCCCTTTAATAACACTGACTGCGCTCCCTCTCTTTTCATCTCATCTCTCCAAGGCTCTTCACTACTGTTCCCTTCCCTTTCCTTTCACCTTCTCTTCTCCTGTCTTTTCCATACCCTGCCTTCTCTTCTCTCCTCCATGCTACCGTGACCCTCTTAGACTTGTAAATTCTTCTTATTTTCTCTCTGTGCGAAAGATAAGCAATTCAGATTATATGCAGCTAGTTCTCCATACTCCCCGGTCAAGCCACCGAGCCCCGGTTATTTACAAAATATTTAACACTACCAGGTGTCATTCACAGAATAGCAACAGCACACATGTCCCTGGCGATTTCTTCGCACCACAAGTCCCGGTTCGGATAATTCCTATGTTCCACTATGGTTAAGAGTTCAGGTGATTGACGCCGTGTTTTGCACAGGTATTGGTACTTGTACGGGATAGGTCCAGGTGGGTTGTGTGACCCCGATGTAATGCCCCTTGGGCGGTATGCTGTGTCATCAACCTTTTGGATACTATCGAATACCTAAATGGACTTAGGCCGCGATTGCAGGACCCCCAGTAGGGATTTGGAAAAAAATCTGGACCTTGGAACAAAAAGTCTAGACCGCAAGCTATTCCTACAGAAAAGAGAAGTTTTTTAAATCCCTATATTTCGATCATTGCTGTATAACGAAATCACACATGAGGCCTAATAAATATATCATAAGTAGGAAATCTTTTTTCACCGGATCGCATCCCAGGGTCGTTTGTCGGTCCTGGATCCCGTGCATCATATCGAGAATACAGGCCTAATGTGTCAGTAATCGTTTTGTTGGGGCTTGTTAACCAATGGCATATCATAAAAGTCCCCAGATTTCTCAAACCTAAGGCCGAGGGGAAGGGATACTGTATCATAGGTCAGATCTCAGAAAATTTAGAATCTTGGCCCTATTCGGCAGTTACCAATAATAACATATCGGGATATTCTTGAAAACAAGATGTTTCCCTGATTCCCTAGATTTCAACGTAAAAAAAACTAAAAATTTTCCCAAGTCCGCTTCGAACGCCTTTCACCATATGCCTTTAGGCGACCCTTTTTATTTTGTGCTGTTGGTTGCAATTTATTTAAGTGATTGGATTCCAGAATCCTATGGGAAGTCCGCCATTATGGGTGATGCGCACTAGAGATTCATTGGTCATGCTTGACGTGTGTAGCCATATGAAGGGAATATTGGTATTTACCAACCTTGACTCCTCCTTCCATGACGTAAAAAATGTCAGGCCAGCCCCCCACTCTACCTACGCACATTGGCTTCATCATATTCGGCTCCTTGCTATCTTTGGTGGGTCGGAAACGAGTGACAGCAAGTTCACCTCATTTATTTACCCTTTACCCCCGAGACTGCACTCTAGAAATCTCTTGTTATCAACAGCAGATACCCCTGACACTTGAACTGCAGCGCTGTGCCACTAATAGGGTCCTCCTCGTGCCCTCTAGTGTCGGTGTTTTCTCCTCTATGCACTGGTTCACCTTTCTCACCTGCGTGCGTTTTGCGGGCAGTCCCAGCCCTCCAGAGTTTTGGTGGGCGGTGGGTGCCCGCTTCTGGCCAGCAGGTAATAAAGAGCAATTCCCGGCCCTGATGATAATGCAGCTATCATACCTTACCAAATGATTCAGGTATGGTTTTGGTTCGTTCAAGGGCAGCACCGTATAGAGAGGGGACCACAAACGCTTGGCAGATGCCTCTTGGCTGCGTCACGAAAGCTGTCAGCACAAACAGTAGTAATGCGCACACAGGCTATATACGTATCCTATAAGTCAGCGCCCGAACACAGATATAATTCACATCACAATTGCCGGTACCCGTAGGTATCATACCCATAGACCGTTAGTGATGCCTTTGTATGCTCCTGTTTAAAAAGCCTCATAATTACACTTGTCTACATATGCACCTATGACTGCCCCCCCAGTTGGCACCAATATGCCATGGCAGCCATAGCCACACCTTTGAGCCAATGCGATTTAAACCCTTTCCCGCTGGGATTGTGTTCATAGCACTGAGGAAAGGCCAGCAGGTTACTAGCTGGAGAACCTTCACCCACAAGAACACATTCAAGTCGCACAAAAAAAAGGTATCATAATACAAATGCAAAACCCTGAGCCTAACTATAAAAGCCAGGGCAAGCTTACCCCTCAGCTCCCATCCGCCAAGAAATGCTGGAGGTCATGCACCATGGCCGGAAATCGGAAGGCGAAGTAATAGGAAAAATATATGGAGTGGCGGTATTGATGAACGAAAGGGAGGGAGTTCCTTGCCTAAGTATTTACTTCGTCTATAGATGCGCCCGATGATATTCCAGTTGTAGCAATCAGTAGCATCTGTATGCATCAATATGACTCTTGCTACTTCCCAGATCCTGATGCCTAGTGGATGGCCGGATATATTCGCACCTTCCATCACAATGCCATTGAGGTGATACTTCCGTGAAAGAAGCCAGACACCAAACGAGTGATATTATGTGAACACCAAATGATGGTTCACACGGAGGGAAAATGCACAGGACTGCGCACCTGAGATATTGCATACCACCAAAATTTGACCTTTTTTCTTGGATATGGGTGGTATGCAATAGCAGTTCTTTCTAGAAACACTTCGACACTGCGGCGCACAAGTAAGCGGCAGCATGAAATTTTAAGTCAAGGCGGCAGTCGTGTGGCACAAGCAACAGGCCCCGATTCCAAGCAAAGCGCTATGTCGTGCGTGCGTGTGCGCGGTTCCCGAGCCACGCGTGCACATAACCTTAACGCAAGCACAGTTTTGCGGGAAAGCAGGGGGAAGCAGCACTAGGATGAAAAAAAAAAAAAAAAATCCCACTTCTTCTTTCCTTCCTGCATGTTAACGTTGGCACAGAATTCTGAAGCCTTATAGCTGTTCTAGATGTTAAGTGGGATTTTTTTGCAGTTGGATTGGAAAATAGAAGATGATGTGGAAACAGATGGGGGGTGCTTGGAGTGATATACGGGGGAAGTCCAGACTATTGAAATTATCCGGTTGATGTTACATAGTATTATCACTGATGGACAATTTTCGGAATCCATGTGCTGATTATGATGAAAGCCCTCCATAGTTTGGTCAGCTGACGTGATCGAATGAATTACGGTTCGGGGCGACGATTTGGCCAGGTTCGAGGGTTGATGGGCTTGGACATGATGCGCTTGAGAAATTGGAGGGCAGCAATCGAGCGTGAGAATCATTAGCCGTTTAGACCGTTCTCTTAGAGCTAGTCTATTCATTTCCCTTGTTGCAGGCAAAAGGCATGAAATATATTAGGCATAGTTCGTGTGTTGGCTAGGGCCTGAAAAGGACAGCTACGGTATTCATGGGAAACAACAGAAAAAGGCAACAGTTTTTCTTTCTTGTTCCCGCCAAGAATCAAATCTCACACGATAGCTTCCCCCGAGCCTCAAAAAGGTTGTGAGTGCAAAGTTCATAATTTCTAAATCGGGTTAGGCTGACCGACGGAATTTTCTCGTTCGCCGTTATTTTTTGCCCACCCTACTCGCTTCCAACCCCTTCGTTTCATGTGTCAACATCCTCCGTCTCTCCCCAGCCCATTCTCTCTTTCCCTCTTTCCCTCTTCGTCGTCTCTCCCTCTTTCACTCCACCTCTTTCTTCCTCGTCGTCCTTCTTCCTCCCCTCTTCCCGGTTGTTGTTGTTCCAGTTGTCTAGTCTAGCCTCCATCCCCCACCATCCCCACCGCCCCCCCGCCTCGTTAGCGCGCCTTGCTTGTCCTCTCCTGTCCCGCGACCCGGCTCCCTGTTCTATTCTGTTGGCTCTGTCACCTTTATCCGTGGTGTTTAACTACTCTCCGGCGAAAGGTTTCGAGCTTGATATCTTTTTTGATTCTTACCTTTTTTTACTGCTGCCTATTGTGGGAATCTCTGCCGTGAATCTTATCGCTAGAATCTTCTACCCAATCGGACCAACCCAACGAACTAGCCAACAATCACGACAACAACAACCGACCGTCCCCGAAGAAGCCAGGAAACTCGAAGGCATAGGAAACGACCGTGGAACCGAACGAAAGAGTTTTTTTTCTTCTCTCCTTCCTTGAATCAGAATAAAGAGTAGCCTCACAACTCACTCATGACCCATCGTTTATCCTCCCATTCACTTGTGAGGATCATCATGGCCGCTACCGGAGTGACTACTCAATTTGCCTGTAAGTCGCTCCCTTGTTGACGCGGGGCAAGTGCGAAAGCGGATGAAATGTTCGATATCTGCACTTTGGGGATGGACATCTTGTTTTCTGCTGTGCCGTTGAACAAGGCTCTACTCTATACCAGTACTTTAAAGGCTAACGTTTGATTGACGGGAACGTGCAGATCGTACACAAAAAACTATCGGCTTGATTGATGGCCACCCTCAATACTCGCATCAACCCGGATTCAACAAGTAAGCTTTCGGATCGTTCTGGTTTGCTCGCTTGTACATGCGGTTCTTCGTTTAGGTTGCCTAACATCATATCTGTCTTGCAGGCCTGAAACGAACAATAGATGCTGCACCTATAGCCCCGATGGAAGATATTTTTCTTGGGCTTGTAATGAAGAGTATGCTCTTGTCCTCATCTGAAACTGTCCCTGCATTTTGCCTTTATCTATAGCTGACTTTCGGCTCTCCAGCGTGAAGATTGCCAACCCAAATACTGGAGAAATTGTCACTACTCTGCCAGCACAAAATGTGCATGAAATTGGATTCTCTCCTCGTGGTAGCTACATCATCACATGGGAACGACCCAGTACGTTCAACCCATCCAGGTGCCAAGAGATGGAGCTGACTCACTTCTAGCCAAGCAGGAGGACGGCAGCGCTTCGAAGAATTTGAGAGTTTGGAAAACTGAGACGGCTGAACACGTTGTAGCATTCGTGCAGAAATCTCAGTCTGGGTGGAACCTCCAGTACACGTATGACGAAAAGTATTGTGCGCGGGTAGTTACGAATACTGTGCAGTTCTTTGAGTCTACGAATATGAATGAGGTCTGGAAGATTCTTCGTGTGGAGGGGGTCACCGAGGTTGCGCTTAGTCCGGGGAAGAACTATTCGGTGGCAGCGTTCGTCCCGGAGCGGAAGGTAAATTTTTAATTGCCCCAATCTCCCTTGACCCGTGACTATCACTAACTTGCATTGGCTCTAGGGTAATCCGGCAGTTGTCAAGATTTTCCAAGTCCCTAATTTCGATGACGTTCTGTCGCAGAAGAGCTTTTACAAGGCTGACAGGGTGCAACTCAAGTGGAATGCCTTGGGCACTAGTGTCTTGGTATTTTCTCAAACCGACGCCGACAAGACTGGGAAAAGTTATTATGGGGAGACCAATCTTTACCTGATTACTGTGGCTGGAAATTATGACTGCCGTGTTTCACTTGGTATGTGCCCTCTAAAGCTTCTCAAGTGCTTTGCTAATGGCAATTTTTATTTTTACAGATAAGGAAGGTCCCATTCACGATGTCGCGTGGTCAACTGATTCAAAGGAGTTTGGTGTTGTGTATGGATTTATGCCGGCAAAAACCACAATCTTCGATGCGCGGGCCAATATCATCCACCAATTACCGGCCGGTCCGAGAAACACAATTCTTTTTTCTCCTCATGCCAGATTGGTGCTGGTTGCAGGATTCGGGAATTTGCAAGGCTCGATGGATATCTATGACAGGCAAGCGGGGATGAAGAAAATTTGCACTATTGAAGCATCTAACGCGAGTGTCTGTGAATGGAGCCCGGACGGCCGCCATATCCTCACCGCCACGACAAGTCCGAGATTGAGGGTGGACAATGGAGTCAAGATTTGGCATTATACCGGGGGATTGATGTACAACATTGATTTGGATGAATTGTACCATGTGACTTGGCTTCCCCAGAGTGCCTCCATGCATCCTTTGCCGAGTCCGCTTCCCCCGGCGCCCACGCCTCACGAATCAGCTTTAACTCACGTTGCAACGACGACTCCTAAAAAACCAGCCGGCGCTTATAGGCCGCCCCATGCCCGTAACACGGCAACCCCTCTTCATTTTAAACGTGAGGATGAAGGTGGAGCGGCCCATATTTACGCCAATGGTTCTGGGGCTGGAAGTGGCAGTGGGTCTAACGGATTGTTTAGTGGTAAGGGTCGAAGGAGAGAAGTTCCTGGAGCAGCACCGGCAGAGAAGCTAGTTCCAGGAGCTGCTCCTGGTGGCGGTGTCTCTCTGGCCGGAACTGGTGCTGGTGCCGATGAAGAAAACCTGAGCCGAGCGGCGGTGAAGAACAAGAAGAAACGTGAAGCCGCCAAGAAGGCTAAGGCTGAGCAGCAACAAGCCGCCAATGCTGCTGGAAATGGAATTCCGCAGGGACCTCAACCCGATAGAGAAGGCCGCGAGGGTAATGGGAGAAATCCCCATCAACACCACACCAGGAGCAAGTCCAGGAACAATCAACAAAACGAAGGCCATCGCAGATCTAAGAGCAAGACTGGTGGAGAGAATCAGAATCACCATGGCCGGCACCATTCCGAGCATCAGCAACTTCATATCAGGACTGGTGCTGATAGTCTTGCTCCCCCGATTGACCCGTCGACACCCCAGAAACGCCAGACGGACCTCGAGGCCGAACCTCAGACACCTGATGGAACACCAAGTACCCAGGATAAGAAGCTTAGAGGGTTGCATAAGAAGCTTCGTGCCATCGAGGATCTCAAGCAGAGGCTTGCAAACGGTGAAAAGTTGGAAGATACACAGCTCAGGAAGATCAGAACCGAGGAACAGGTTAGGAAGGAGTTGAATGGCCTCGCTTAACATTTCTTTTTGCTTTGGGTAGGCAATTTCTGGTTTTTTAGGGGGGCATCATACGTTTGTGTATAACTATCCAATTGTATGAGAAAATAGCCTGCTGTTGTTTTGTCTTTTTTTGCATAACACGGGACTGGCGGGGTTTGCATTAAATACAGTGGACATGGATCGGGCTGTGTGGTGGTTGCCTGTGGCTGGTTTGAGATTGTTCGATAAAGCTGATGTTAAAAACAAAAATTGCGCTAGGAGATACTGTGTCTGATGTGCCTTTCAATTGAACGTGATTTCTAAATGTCGAGTGTTTGTGATGTAAATTCTGATTTTCACTCGTCGTTTTGGCACCGGACTCCTAGTGTATGTACAATCTGTGGATATTATTTGGACATAGCAGCAAACATTGTGCGAGATAATATATCCAAGCTTTGAGCGCAGTGCCAACCTACCATCAGAATTGAAATTAGGTGCTCGTACATCGCACACCGTGCCTGTGCCCCGTGCACCAGTGGAGGGATAGTCTAGCCCTACCAGCAGACAAGACACTGGCAACATGCAAGTTCATGCTGCAAACGACTTTATTACATAAGCGTACAAAAGTGGGGGTTCTTTCTGTCAGCGAGTCTCTCTTCAGCCAAATTATCACGTGCTCCAGCCTTGATGGACAACTCGTTGAATTATGATACTTGGGGGTACCGTACCGACCGCGACCAAGTCAGCAAGAAAAGCTATGATACCATCCACCATTCGGTGAGGGAAGGCCGTTCGGGATGTGCAAATGCAACGCACCGCCAAAATGAGTTCAACAGTACTACAGTACTCCTCAGAGATTTGGCCAGTTTGCTTCCATTCCGAGCAAGATTTGTGTGATGCCGGAGAGCGCTTGGGTTTCCCCCGAGCTATTCGTGGCGGCGGTACACTCGAGCTTTCCCCTTCCTTCCTTCTTTGTGGTCATATAAAAGTGCTGTGTACAGTACCCAACGGTGAGAGGCAGCAGGGGCTCATACGGGTGTCTTTGGGAAAGGGCGCTCGGAAGCCCTGTCCGGCTAGCTATCATACTGTACAGGTACTCGAGTACTAGTACTGTACTGTACCCGTGGCTGACCACCCCTTGCCCACCATAATAAGAGCTGTGCGACCCCCAGCCTGTGACGACGAGGGCGCTTCTTGAAAATGGAGGTGAGAAAGATCAGGCGGTAGTAGCGATTGATTTACCAGGGCCCACTCGGAGGTCTTGAGAAGCAGCAGCCTACGGTATTCAATCATACACTTGTTCGTGACTTTCTTACTCCTCCTCACGCGTTGTGAATTACCTTGTCTTTTTCCTGCGAGCTGCATTGCACGTAGACAATATGTAGACCATCATACCAAAAAAGCACACAATTCATTTCTGGTTATGGTACCAGGATATCAATAATGCTTGAGAACCTTGGGGGGGGGGTGTTGATACGTGTATGATATGCAGGTATGTATTCCCCCTATCCTAGACACGCACAGCCCCGCCTTGACCCGGAAGGGCCTTTTATATTATAGCAAGATCTTTCCCCAATCACCGCAATGCCCCCCTGTCTCCATGCGTTCAGTCAGTGACCAAGATCCTCTCAAGTGGAGCATCTCATACTTGTACCACAATAGACCGAGAATGTCTTGGCAATTTAACGAACAAAGTAGGGCTATCCGGAGAGAATCATAAGTGTGTGGCTTCATAGGACGTTCCTCTCCTCTCACTAGTCCTTCCTTCTACCATAACCAGCCACGTGCGCAGTAATTGGCACCCTCCTGGCGCGATTTTGTTTATTATTATCTTTTGCGATCGCTAGTATTGGATAGTTCCTCAACACCTGACCTGTCAAAATCGGGCTTGGAAGAGCAATGACTGCTACACTAGCTAGAACTAGCACTATTTTCATTGGACTCTTCAGCCCCGCCGAAGCCGCTAGTGGCTAATCTAATTAGGCCTTTACTTACTTCCCCACGGCTAACTTGTCTAACTCGGAACCCTTGCGGCTTACTTCGTACCGTCCCGTCCAGGCTAAGGGGGTGGTAACCGAAATAGTCATTTGGCAATTGTGTGATGGTTTGAGGTCTGGTGTTTTTATTTGTTTTTGTTTTTTTTTTAGTTCTGGAAAGGAGATTTGTTTGGTGCGCTTTTCGATACCTCTTCCGGAGAAGGAGGAGGGCTTAGACTGTTGCAGTATGCGGTCCGTTTATTCGGGTTCTTGACAGGTTAAGGCAGTGTGAATGACGAGAATTTCGTGCGCATCTTCAGGTCGCCTACTGTACTTTGGTCTGACTTCAGTCCTGGATTGCCAATTTATGCTATTGTCAGTCTTACTGAAATCTTCTGGTCAGGATGCGACTGGTACTTGTATATATCCGGGTGCCGGTAGTCTACTCGAGTACTGTACTGTACTGTACTCGAGTATCGTTCATGCAGCAATTGTGCTGCGGCACGGTTATTCGGGCACCACCGGTGTTGCGCTTATCTCAAAGTCGCAGTCAGATGGATGGTGTGTCGTATGCGCACTGAAGCTTGGGAATTTCTGTGATTGTGTAACTTGAACAATAAGAGGAAGTAAAACCTGGTCAAGCACGACTCAATTGGACAGGGAAGAAAGAACACTTTATCTCGTCACTGTCTAAGGGGTTGCTTGCTTGGTCTAAGGTGGTAAGGGGCGAGAGGCTTAAGAGGAGAAAACTCTCATGCCAAGTGCTCCCCCTTCTAGGAAATTCCGCAGGGTCAACCCCTACCAAATACATGACCTTTTCCATCCTACAGTACTCATCCTCCGCCCTCATCGGTAGTGGCTATGAGATCACTTATGATAATCTTATCATATAAAATCGGGCCCCCTCGCCAAGTTGGGAATAGTGCTAGCCTCGCCAGGTGGTAAGCAACAGGGCTAGGGTTGGGGTTTCCAGGAACCTAGTTCGTAGGAACGATTCTTGTCCAACGTAAGCCGATAGCCCCCAATGAGCCACCAACCACCACCCCATGTGGAAATGAGCCCTCATCCCAACATAGCCTGCTGTCCAAATTTTTAAATGTTTACCCGGGAATGGCACGCGGGGAAGACAACAATATGCCGACTTGAGAAAAAAAGAAAGCCGCAAACTTACCCTGAGAATATCAAACCCCACAGGTTTTCGCCATGTTCGCCAGGGATTGCCCTTGTGGTATCGATAATAGCATCGTCGTGATTGACTCGAGGGTCTTTTGGGGGCTGTATCGTACTGTATGGAGAGGTAGAACGACATAAATACTCTTCAAGATCCCGCAATCTATAGAAGAAATAATTCCTCTCAGACATTCCTAGACAGTGCTTCAAAGCCACATTTACTATCATACCTACTATCTTCACAGTATCATACTCTCACACAACCCCCCCACACACTACCTTTCCACCTTCAATCCAAAAAATCCAAATTACCAAAATGAGGACAGCCATCTTCTCCTCCGCCCTAGCCATTTTCGCCACCCTGGCCAGCGCCCACCCCACCGCAGCGCGCGCAGCTCCTGCAGTGACCACAAGGGCGGAAGCGGTATCCCGCGACCACGTCGGGCAGGCGATCCACCCCACCGCCGTGGTCAATATCAACGAGGACACGCCCGACGCCGCTCTCGGTGTCACCGAGAAGGCCATCGTCTCCCGCGCCGACGGCAAGCACAACTCCCAAGCCCTCGTCCGGTTCGACTTCCCCGACGGCCTGACCGGGTCCAAGTGCCGATTGGCCTTCGGCTACCCGGCCTACTTCAGCGGCACCGGGGAGGTCCAGGTGTTTGCCGTCGGCGACGCGAACATCGCTGGTGCGACCTTCAACAACAGGCCCTTCAGGGACCAGTTCAGGGGCGCCCTCCGCGTCGGGTGGGGAGAGGCTACGGTCGTCGATGGGTCCGGATTGACTTTCGATTGCCCGGCTGTGGGGCCTAAGGCCTACGAGGTTGTTTCGGTCGGGGATAATAGTGAGGTTGTGTGGTATGCGCCTTGGGGTGGATTGAGGGTTGATGTTTTGTAAAGGGCTGCCCATGTCTTCCTATGTCTTTCTTTCTTTTAAGCGTTGCATTGCATGGTAAATGGGGTTTGGGCTTTTGCATTCGGGGATTAGAGCATTGGGGTTTGCTGTTTTGTTATTCATTCATTCATTCATTCATTCGCACGAGCACTATTAGTATATTAGTATCAGTATTAGATTAATCATCTAGTGGAGATTTACGGGAGGAAATAATAATATTATATACTTGAACCTTTTTTTTCCCTCCGAAAGTGAGCCATTGGATCGTGGAACAAACAGGAAGAGTGATAAATGCTTTGATACGGGTACTGTGCCGCGCCGATTAGCGGGAGCGAAGTCAAACCACTTACTCGCCGCAGAGCCGTGAATCAAACAGGGCGATAATATATGTTGGGGTTCTCGATCGCAATCGCTGAGGTGCCACAACAGCCTTACAAATATATATATTATAATAATATTGATAATATTTTAAAGTATCTTAATATACATTATAATAATATTATTATCATACCAAGTGAGCACTCACCGGATATCACTCGTACCCACGAACCCCCCCCCCCGATTTTTCTCTTTTTGCGCAAAAATCTTACAACGCACCAAACAAACAAACAACAACCGAATAAAAAGAGAGACAGACGGGACTTGTAATACCTACTACGATATTCGCCGGGCTCCTGATCAGCGAACCCTGCAAGCGAATGGAAATGGCCATCATAATCAAGACACCCGCAACGCAACCCCCCCCCCACCCCCGCGGATTGTGAAACGTGAGTGAAGTTTGGTGGTTGTTATTCGGGGCAGCAGATAGAGCCCAAATGCCATCACCATGCAGAAAGATTGTTCGCGATTTAACCCGGAGGTTTTATGTGGCGCTGACTCCTGAGATGGCGGGAAAGTTTGACGAAAATCACCCCTCACAGGTAGCGATGATTGGTGAACCCTTGGTGATCATTGAAAATTGGCATCTGATAGGTATGTATATGGGTTGGCTATTATTGGGCAGTGTTGGGGGGAGTTGTATGGTTTTGGGGAGGCGACGTAAGCTCTACCTATCCATTACTCCCTCCTTCGTCACATTGTTTGTGGGTCGGAAAAGCCCAGACTCCAACCTTGAACCTCGCGGGGGAAAATCACGGGAGCTATAAACGCCAGCGGATGGGCCTGAAATGCTCTAGGGGTTGTCCTTCAGCGGCTGGTGAGGGTGGGTGAAAGAACCTCAGGGAGATGTTGCCGAAAGAGAGCTGCTTTT